ATCCTCTCCCTATAAATATTTAATTCTCTGTGAAAAAAACGCCAATCATTGTTTAATAAGATGCTCATCTAACGTTTGTTTTTAAACCTAATGTGTGTAACGAACCTAGCGAATAATTTTGTTGTTTTTATGCACAAAAATCGGACTAAATCACAAAATAAAACAGCATGCTTGGACGTAAGGTGGCGGAGACGGAGAAAACTCTATGTAATGCGTATTACTAAGGGTATGCTGGCCTGACGCGGTATGCTGAGCTGATAGAACACCAAATAGTCATCCCACATAGAGTAGTTTCTTGTGATTGGCTTTTACAGGGGAGCTCTGTGATTGGTTGCAAACCATCCCCTGTTTAAAAAAAAAATGCATTTGTGTATCAAGGCATGTCAGGAGAGTCTCAAAAATCCACACACAACTGCAGTGAAGTTTAAAGACCACTGGTACTTTGTAATTTAATTTAGAATTGTTTATGGACCAGAAATACTTTGTCGAATATTGTGCTGTGCATGTGTGAATCTTGTATGCTTGCCTGAATCTGGCTGTGTATGTGTGAAGCTTGTCCTGTGCATGTATGAATCACATGTGTATTTGTGAAATGTGAGACTGATTTAGCTCTACACAGATGACTCTGCAAAGTGCCTTGAGATAAAATCTGTTGTGAATTGTTGCTATATAAAAAAACTGAATTGAGTTAATTCATAACATTGGAAATATGCACGCATATAGATGTATTTTACATAAAAAAATTCAGACTATCTGAATGACTTAAATAATGGGTTTCACATGCAAAATTTTAGATACGGTAAGCTATCTGAGTACTGTCAGTACGGTCAGTAAATGATCACCGCATTGGATGTCTTACCCCTGTCACTATTATTATATATTTAACTGTTACTTTTTTTGATTTAAAGTTTACTTTTTAAAGATTTAGATAATAAGGAATACCTTAAAATTAAAGAAGATAATGTGTTTCTTTTTGTTTCAACATAAACCTTAGGTTGGTGGTGCAGTGAGAGAAGTAACTGGATACACTGCCACCTACCGTCACAAGATTAGTGTGGAAGAAGGGGGAGAGGATGGTAACTGCTTGCATATCAGGAATGGATACCACCATGTAATCAAGGGATATCCCAACTGTGTAGTAGCAGATGCCGTCATCAACTTCTTTATGGCTCAAACGGACAAAATACGTCAAGTTGGCTTTGACCCCCGCCTGTCAAGAAGTGCACATCTAGGTCAGAAGCTTTTACATATTTTATTTCTGAATAAAGTCTTAAATATACTAATCAACTGTCATTTCTGCAGAGTTTTTTATAGATGCTCTGGGCATTCTGCACATTGGCTCCTGCAGTGATGTCATCGTTAACCATGCATCAAAGATCAAGCTGCCGTGGACTAAGACAGAGGCACAGAAGACCTATGAGAAATTCAGATACTCCTCTAACAGTGCAAATAATGACCTTCATAATGAAGTATTCTATTTTAAGAACAGGTTCAAGTGTATGACTAGCCAATAAAAAGTGAGCTTCCACTGGTCTTATAAACTCCTTTTTTTTCAGACTTGGAGTTTTTTTTTTTATCAGTTTATGAGTTAGGTTTTTTTTTTTTTTACCACATGCTGTTAATTTATAATAAAGCAGTTGTGTTTATGTTTTTCAATTAAAGCACTGAATATTTTTATTTCATAAATAAAATGCCTTTGTATTTTATTTGTTTCTCTAAAGTGCAATTTGCTGTCTGTGCTCTGCGTGTGTAATTTGAATTTCACATCATCTTTAAGTTTTAGTGTGTCCTTTTTTAAATCTGTATTGTGTGCGAATGTGCATGCGTATCAAGTCCAGGACCAAAGTTGTATCACACTAGAAATTATTTTGAAAAATTCCATAATTTTACCAAATAGACTACAAAAAAGAAAGAAATCCTTCACCAACTAAGCTCCTCCATCTGCTGTCTCAATATTTTACCCATGGCTTCCCTGAAGAAAGCTTTACCTGTCATATATCTGATTGAACTTAAATGATCAATTTGTCTATTTTGTGAGGTATTTTCCCCCAGGCCCTAAAACGGTTACTATAAAACCAAAAAGGGCTGACTTGGACACAGGGCGTACGCAGGGCCAAAAAAAACTGAGGTCCGGAGGCAGATCTTCTAGGTGGGTTCGGTGGTGTGCTCCCCTAGAAATGTTTCTAATTTATTTAAATCTGGCCATTTTCTGAGTCTTAAGGAGCATAAACATAATTCTTTTGAAAGACTTTTGAAAAGGCTCAGCTGTGAATTTCTCCTCTCCTGTCTTCCCTGCCAGACATTTCCGACATTATAAACTTGATTTTATTATCATCTTTCTTTTAAAGCCTCTGACCACGGTGGCTCTTGAACTAAGGCCAAGTCATCTTTTTTCTGCACACAACCTTGCTGGGTTGAGCTCCGGGATCCAGCAGAAATATAATACAAATTCAACATCCAACACTGAGAAAACAAACGCCTAATAAAGGTATCATTTTCAGCCAAAGAGGTTGCTCACATATCAATCGCTTAATGAATGTTGATTCAGTCGGTGGAAAATGGTTAAACTTTTGGTTTGATGTTTTATTGCTGTCTAAGTTGCATGCTGGGCATAAATCTTCATGAAAATGTTTTTTTCTGATTGTCAACAACTTGAACTGCTCTCCACCTGCATTAGTAGCTCTTTATGCTCCTCTTCCATGGACTGAAGGACTCATGGGTCGGTAGCTTGTGTTTGGCAATTACTAGATGGACAGTGCATGTTGACAATGACTTAAGATGATTAAACCTTTGGCTCTTCAAATATAAAACACCTTGCAGTTTAGTGAGAGACCAAGTTCATTATCCCACAGTCAGTTTCACTGTAATTATTTTAGTTTATATCACAATTCGAGCAATATATAAATGAATAAATGGTAGTTACAGCCCTGCTTGGACAGGCTGCCAACCTCCCTTCATGAGTTAAATTATTCAACATTTTCCAGTCATACTTCTCTGCTCAGTACAGAGACTGTCCTTATCAAGGTGTTCAGTGATATCTGTGTAAATGTAGACTGTGGAAGAAGCAGATTACTGGTGTTATGGGACCTTAGTGCACCATTAAACACTGCTGATTGTTCCATTTTATTAAAGTGCCTGGAAAACTTGGTCTGCCTTTCTGGACTCACTGGACTGTTTTTTATTCTACTGAAGAACCAGGACTTGTTTGTGTCAGGGTGTAATCTCACCTCACAAAGTCACATGCCAAGAGAGCTGGCAAGAAAGGACAAAAGCAAAGTTTGAACTCTGTAATTATGGGCTGACGTATACAATAAATGACCCAGAGCAATCAACAATTTTGGACATTGAACCTTCCTTTGCCTGCGTACAGAAACTTGACCGCAATGTCTTAGTAATAGCTTAATGGAACTTTGGTTGGATGTGTAACTTGGCAAACAACCACAGGCCATATAAATAGGCCCTGCCTTCCCTTACCGGAAAAGGTTGGTTATGGTGCTTTTTTTCTCCTGAGAAACCAGATATCCTATGAATTGTGGTTGTTCAACAGGTTTGTCAAGATCAGGGGTCCCCTCAGAGCATGCATGCTCTGAGGGGACCTCAAAGTTTCTCGAACATTGAGAGATAGGGATATTTGGTGGAACAAGCAGTTGTCCACTAAACCAGAAGATGGCAGCAGTGGCTATCGAAAGCCCCAGCATTGGACAGAAATAGTCCAGAGGTATTTTACTAAAACAAAAATACAAGACAACGGAACGTTGTTGGTTTGTTAGCAGGATCAATTATAAAATTATGAAAAGATTTTTTAGAAAATTTTTGCCAGAGGTGTGCCTCATACCAAGGAACAATTCAATTAAATGTACTGATCCAGATTATATGCAAGTTTTGGCTATTAAGTCACAATTTGGGGTAATATTTGCTGTTTTTTTTTAATTCCAGAGTCAATCAAGGAGTTTTGTGAAACTTTACATTGTTATTTGAACAGTAGATTGATCTCTGACCCTTCTTTCTTTTGACCAAATGACAAACAATGAAACCTGTGTCATCTGGATATTGACATGCCAGCTGCAAATATTGACCAATAGAATAAAAATTGTATTTATAATTGCTGAGTTTCATAATATAATATGATGTAGCCTAAAAAAAATGTACAATTGCTTATAAGAAAATAACAAATGTATTAATTTAGTAAAGTCCAGAGGCTAGGCTCTGATTGATATTACTGAAAAAGGATTTAATCTGTCAGTTCTGCAGAAAACTGCACCACTCTTGTGTAAAGGCCACAGTGACTGCAGACTTTCTCCAGCACTTTGAAGGCTCATGCATGGTTCATTCCCAGAAGGTAGAGGGTCAGTATCACACTGAGTGCACAACTTGGTCAACTGTCTCCACCAGATGATTGTGTCCAAGCCACTTAGGCCACAGGTTGTAACCATCATCTCATCCCCTGTGTAATAAGGAGCATTATAGCAGGTCATTCATCCCTGCTGCCGTCAGACTTTACAATATCACTGTGAAATAATTTTGGATATAAACTACAGTGCAATAGAATACAATGAGAGTACAATGAGAGCAATGTCTTTACCTGTTAATTTACCAAACCTGCAGCTGCTCTGTTTACACTTTGCACTTAAACAGATCATCCCTCAATTTATTTATTTGTTTTAACCTCACTGTACTGTACACCTACTTTTTTGATGTCCCTGTTCCTTATTTTACAGCGCATGTAAAAGTCCTATATTTTCTTTCTTAAACCTTTCTTGTTTTTTCATCCTTGCCTTGGTACTATGTGAAATGTTTGTTTTACATCATTTTATGTCAGATGTTTGGGTTTTAAAGCTGTTCTATGTTGTAAGAGCTGTTTCTATTTTTTTTTTCTGTTTTTAAAATGTACAGCACTTTGATACTGTGTTAGTTTAAGGTTTTTGTTGGTTTTATAAAGTTGGATTATAATAGGTGAGCTTGAGCAAACTTGTTAAGCAGGTACACAGACTGTTCATCTTTGGCAGTTTTAGCAAACACATCATTTTGTTTTAAGAAAAGAGAAATACTTCCTTCATCAATGGAATAAAATGTCTACCTGTTCCTTTACCAGTTGGAGTGAATGACATTTTTTGCAAGATGAAACAAGTAAATAGGTGACTACTGTGAACTTATGAAATATCTAGGTTTTATTTGAGAATGTTTATTCAACAGGAAACATCACTAACTACCTCAGTCAGTTTTGAGCCAAATGTAACTATAGTTATTAAATTAACATAATCTTATAATAATGAGTGATAACTGTAGCCAATGAAAAATTAGATATGATCATGTCTTGTTAAATTAAAACGATGCATGCAGCTTCATTGTAAAATGTAATTGTAATGTTTCACCACCAGAGGGAAACAAAAGATCAGGAAATATGCCTTAAAATGATTAGACATATTATTTGTAGCTATCTGATGAAAGAATATGTCTAAAATTAACTCTTATGCTCATTATTTTCCCTGTTTTTTTCCCTTTTACAATTTTTCAACTCTTATTTTGTCTCTTTGTATTTTTTTTTTAAATGTGTGCTTAAGGATATATTGCCTGTATTTCCATTGTTCATTTCCAAATTGTGTGTATTCCACTAGTTATATTAAGGCCATGCTTATTAAAATTATCCTTTAGCTGCATTGTAACCTCTGAGGGTTTCTTTAAAGGTAGCCAAGTCCTCATCCTTAAAGTCTGACATTTGTTGAGGAATTGGCAGTTATTTCAAATGCCCCTCCGTGCGTTCATCTTAGTCTGTCTGACTGTAAAATCAGGCTGAATAAACATTTGGCCAGATATTTGTGCATCATGTCCTAATTGAAGTGGACTACTTCCTTCCAATTAGTGAAATACTCTTTGAGCTTTAGAAGGAAACCCCCAGTGGGTACAATATCAGGAGGATACCTAAAAATATGCAGAGGAAGAAAAAAAAAAAATATGATCAACTTGGTTATCAAGCAAACAGCAAGGACATAATTTCTTATTTTCTCTATGTTTATCATGGTGTTGAATTTAAACTTAATGTATTTTTATCAGGTCAAGGTATCAGAATTAATCTGGGATTAAGCTGTTTGACAGCAGAGGGCAGTATAAATTATCACAAAAGTTTTTTAATGATTTCCTTTAAAAAAAAAAAAAAAAAAGTGTTGTCTTTGTCACAGGAAACAGTTCTTCTCTCATTATTTGAAGTGAGATTAATTCTAGCTTTTTTCTCAGTTTTTCAATCCGAGGCAGAAACTTTCAGTATCTAGGTGAGCACAAAGACTTGCTCTCTTCCCTCTTCAAAATCTGACAAAGTTTGCATACTTAACATTCCACCCTAGCCGTTTCAACCACCCAGGGGAAACAAATCACACTTTAACAACTGCATTAAAACAGATACAGTCATAAATCTGCCATTTAATATTTATTTTAATGTAATTCCTATGTGAAGTTAAAAGAACAACTCCAGAACATCAAAGTGTTTACATTGCTTAAATACTAACATAAAAGCTTCTGGGTGGATATATAAAGGTCGCACGAGAAGTGTTGTGCGCTTTTAGGATTTAGAACCTTTATGATTTTTCTGCTATTCAATCTGGAATTCTTTAATTCAGATGTGCATATCTAGATGCTGATTTTTTTAAGCATTCTTTGTTGAAAAATGGATAATCAATTAGTTTTAGGTTTGCATTTGATAAGGAGATTCTAACACGTGAATGTGTTTTGATCAAAAACCTGTTCTTATCAATTATGGGTGTATTTTTGGAGTAACTGTTCTGGTGAAGGTAAACTTCCATTCAAAGTACAATTTGTGGCTCTTCCCAAGCATTTCTCTGGGGTGGCCCTCCATCTCTGACCAGATTCCCAGCCGGAGGACACTCATGGTATAATGTTGCCCTTACCATGTGTTGCCATGGAGATTGTGTGGTCTGAGTGATGTAAGCCATTGGTTTACCTCCATTCAATGGTCCTAATGTATCGTCATCAAAGCTGCTAGAAGAATGTGCAATGGTAATTTTAGAAATATTGTGCTTGCAAACTCTAGATGAGGAAAAGAATTATGATACAGTACTCACTGTACAGTTTCACATTTAAGCTTTTATCAAAAAAAACTCTTCTGTGCACTGAGTATTTTATTACAAAGCTAACAACAAACACAAGGGTAATAAATATTTCAAATCTGAAATCTAGAAATATATACCTGTTACAATGCCTAATTAAGAGTACGTCTGAAACATTTCTACAGTGTTTAGGAACTGCCTCTACTTCAGTTAAATCCAGCTAGGATTTAAATGTGCCAGCAGAGTGCTACATCTGTCAAAATAATTGTTAATGTTGAAATGTAACTAAACTGTAAATTAAAATATACAGATGATGATAAAACAGGCCATTGTCACTTTGAAATACGTCCATACAGTCCAGTCTGAATCAGCTGTTTTCTGCAACTTAGTAGGTGATATCATAGTCACAGACGTTGTTCCCTTGGTTCATACCCAAACTGTTTTGGTGTTTTCTGGCGGTTTTTCCTATGACAGAGGAAAGCAGTGTTAAATAAATGCCTCTCTCTCTCTCTCTCTCTCTCTC